ATTGGCCCAGCTCGGCCATTGCGGCCATTTGGAGATGGAAGGCTTCTCTGTCTCTCTCTGCCTCTGTTTCTGTAGCTCTGCCTTTGAAATAAATAAACAAATCTTTAAAAAAATAAACTCCAGATGGATGTAAAGATTAAATTTTTAAAAATCAGCTGTAGATACCTGATAGAAGATAGGCTAGTCAGTGGAAGAAAGTACGAAAGAAATGATGTACAGCTGCATAAGGAGCCTTCAAAAAGTTCATGGAAAATTCATATTATGAAAAAACTATGCATGGTCTTAAATTTTGGACAAAAATAAATTTCATCTCTTAATTCCATTTTCCCATAAACTTTTTGAAATAGCCTCATATTAAATATTCTGTTAAAAAAATAAAATTGAAAGGCAAAGGCTTATAAAACTAGTTTCTTCATCTGAATCAAAGACATACATAGGGAGCTTCTTTGAGTTTATAAAAACTTCAAGACCCTGGCCGGCGCCGTGGCTCAATAGGCTAATCCTCCACCATGCAGTGCCAGCACACCGGGTTCTAGTCCCGGTCGGGGCGCAGGATTCTGTTCCCGTTTCCCCCTTCCAGGCCAGCTCTCTGCTATGGCCCAGGAGTGCAGTGGAGGATGGCCCAAGTGCTTGGACCCTGCACCCGCATGGGAGACCAGGGGAAGCACCTGGCTCCTTGCTTCGGAGCAGCGTGATGTGCCGGTTGCAGCGCGCCGGCCGCGGCGGCCATTGGAGGGTGAACCAATGGCAAAAAGGAAGACCTTTCTCTCTGTCTCTCTCTCTCACTATCCACTCTGCCTGTCAAAAAAAAAAAAAAAACCTTCAAGACCCTAATAGATAAATGAGCAAAAGGGTTTTGAAAATTCATACAAAGCACATGTGAGTATAAAACAAATGTGGAGGAAATATTCTACATCACTGGCAATTAAACTAGCATAAACTTATAGAACACTATCCCTAATTAGCTTACAAACAGGGCCGGCACTGTGCGCAGCGGGTTGTCGCCCTGGCCTGAAGCACTGGCATCCTATATGGGTGCTGGTTCGAGACCCAGCTGCTCCTCTTCCAGTCTAGCTCTCTGCTATGGCCTGGGAAAGCAGTAGAAGATGGCCCAAGTCCTTGGGCCCCTGCACCTGTGTGGGAGACCCGGAAGAAGCTCCTGGCTCCTGGTTTCAGATCGGCACAACTCCAGCAATTGCGGCCAACTGGGGAGTGAACCAGCAGATGGATGGAAGACACCTCTCTCTCTCTCTCTGCCTCTGCCTCTCCTCTCTCTGTAACTGTGACTTTCAAATAAATAAATAAACCTTTAAGAAAAAAAAAGTCTCTCCCCTTCTGACTATAACCCTGCCTCTCAAAAGAAAAAAAAAAAACAAACACAAGGTTATAGCCAAAAAAAAGTCAGTGCTCACATTCTCTATTGGCAAAGTTGTGCAAGCAACATATTCAGACATTGCCACTGTCTAGCAAAATGCTTTTGGGTAGCAATTCGGAATGTATGTACCAGAGGCTGGAAACTACTCCTTAACCTAGGGATTGATGCTGAGGAAATAATATAAAGAAACAGTGTCAAATTTAAACTGACAAAACAAAAGATAGAATCACTTAATCACACACAGAAAAGGCAAGAGAGTATAATAAACAGCTGCTGAAACTTTTAAGACTGTGGCTATCTGAAGAACACATATTAACAGGGGTGGGGAACTTCTGGCCCATGGACCATATTAAGGGTTACGAAGTCATTTGGTCTGGTCTTGCCAAGGCAACCACAGTGGGGACTTGAATTTCAATAAATCTATAGCAGGTTAATAAAAAATATTTTATTTATTTATTTGAGAGGCAGAGTTACAGACAGTGAGAGGTAGAGAGAGAGAGGTCCTCCATCCACTTGTTCACTCCCCAGATGGCCACAATGGCTGGAGCTGTGTCAATCCGAAGCCAGGAGCCTACTCCCGGTCCCCCATGCGGGTGCAGAGGCCCAAGGACCTGGGCCATCCTCCACCACCTTCCCAGGCCACAGCAGAGAGCTGGATGGGAAGAGGAACAGCCAGGACTAGAACCAGAGTCCATATGGTATGCCGACACCGCAGGTGGAGGATTAACCTACTGCGCCACAGCACCGGCCCCAATAGCAGGTTAATTTTTAAATTGATAGTTTTGTATGGCCAAAAGTGATGGAAAAAAGTGAGAGAAAAGATTCCCCAGCCCTAGTCCATAACACATGAAAAAAGAAAAATTACATATCACATGCAACAGTTACACAGCTGTAAACAAGGCTGAACGCTAGAAGGGAAGATGACAAGTGGAGATGGAATTTAAGATAAAATATGTTTTTCTGATTTTTATAATCTTTTTTAAGCTTATAATATGTAATAATAAATAAAGATTGAGTCAACAGGGAAAAAGTCACCCAAACGTTGGCCTAATTTTAGTATTGTATTAAAATTAGAGTGACTTGCCGGCACCGCGGCTCAACAGGCTAATCCTCCACCTAGCAGCGCCGGCACACCAGGTTCTAGTCCCGGTCGGGGCTCCGGATTCTGTCCCGGTTGCCCCTCTTCCAGGCCAGCTCTCTGCTGTGGCCAGGGAGTGCAGTGGAGGATGGCCCAAGTGCTTGGGCCCTGCACCCCATGAGAGACCAGGTTAAGCACCTGGCTCCTGCCTTCGGATCAGCACGGTGCGCCAGCCACGGTGGCCATTGCAGGGTGAACCAACGGCAAAAGGAAGACCTTTCTCTCTGTCTCTCTCTCTCCCTGTCCACTCTGCCTGTCAGGAAAAAAAAAAAAAAATTAGAGTGACTTGATCTTTGTAAGGTTATTTAACATATGCTGTCCTGTTATATTCTTGCCCCAGAATCCTGTAATAGTACTTTATTCAGCCCCCAAAATGGTCGAAATGCTGTCTTCAGTTCTTCCCTGGAACCCTTTTGAGGAAGATTCCCTTACAGTAGGCCAGCAACATCCTCCTACTGTGTGTGCTGCATAGGATTGTGGGGATGAGAATGGGATGTCATGGGCCTCTTGATACTTGCTGTAAAAACTCTGAAGATACTGAAAACAGTGAAGCTTTAACTCACTGTTTCCTCCCAGATCTCACCTGGTATTACTTGTTTTTTTGGTGATTTCATATGTGTGAGCTATTTGTAGTTTGGACAGATGTAACTTTCTATAGCATTTGTTCAATTTCAATAGAACAGAAACCTACAGTATTGCTTGTATCAGGATAATGGGTCAAATGCCCATCCCACAACCACCCTATTTTTTTCTATATGTAATATATGTCATTATATTTGTGTCTTTAAAAGTTTATTTTATTTTTATGTATTTGAAAAAGCAGTGGAGAGAGAGAAAGAGATCTCCTATCCACTGGTTTATTTCCCAAATGCCTGCAGCAGCTGGGGCTAGGCCAGGTTGAAGTCAGGAGCTAGGAACTTCATCCAGGTCTCCCATGTGGGTGGCAGGGACCCAAGTACTTGAGCCATCACCTTCTGCCTCCCAGGGTGCACATTAGCAGGAAGCTGAATTGGAAGTGCAGATGGGACTCGATCTCAGGCACTCAGTTATGGGTTGTGAGCATCCTGAGTGGCAGCTTAACCCACTGCATCACAACGCCTTCCCCTTTCTTCCTCTTTTTATAATTTATTTATTTTTATTTATTTGAAAGGGAGAGATGTATTAGTTATATTCTGAAGGTTAAGAATTAGCTATTGTAATGATAAGTTACATTTTATTAAGAACCTACAGAACTTATTTTCTCTTGAGGTAGAGAAAATTAGAGAATAGGAAAATGTACTTCTAGATACTGACAAATGTTTTCTGCTCTTGCTTCATCCATGCTGTAGCGAATGGGTTGATTTGCTTTCAACACCAGAATTTCTTCAAAGCTAACTCAACACTTCTTTGTTCTATGTTCTGCAGACAGTGGCCTTTTAGTGATCTGACAAGAATCTCACATAACCTTTAATACCGTTATCCTCCTCCTTACTCCTCAGGGCTCTGAGTTCTTTGATGTTCATTTCTTCCCTGTGACAGTGTCCTAGTAAAAGGGGACCAGGAGAATGATCAAAGGAGTCTCTTTTTTTTTTTTTCTAGTGTTCATAAGGTTAAAAAGCACACATTGATTGAATTTTTGAAGCGTTTTGTTTGAAATAGTATTTTTTATTATAAAAGTAACATAGGCTTGTGATTAAAAAATTGTTTTACACAGAAAAGGAATATAATGTGAAACTACAACAATACCACCACTTAGAAATAACTCTGTTAAATTTTTGATGCAAAAAAAAGCAAGCTCTAAGGAAAATAGAAATGTGAAAATGCTGCATTTGTGTAAGCAGATCGTGACCAATGGCCCTCGGTTAGTCTGTGAGCGGCGATGTGGTCCGGCAGACAAAGCACCGTCCCTGAAATCATCTAATTCTGGGGTTGTGGGCCCAGTTCTGCCACTTCCCAGCTCTCTGACTTGGAGAAATCTACTTAATTACCTGATTCCTTAGTTTTCTCATATTTAAAAACCTATAATAAGACAAGACTAGTAGGACTACTATAAAGATTAAGCATATGATATATGTAGAACACTATGCTAGTGCCTGATATATAGTAAGTACTCAATAGAAGGTAAGTACTAAGATAAGAAGAATGCATAATTAGGCTCTTAGGAAAGAATCATTGGGGTGTGGAAACAGGTGAATTGACTGAACACGCATGCTTCAGTGAGAAGACGGGGCTGCAGGACTGTCCGGATGTTTGGTCTGGAGGAGAGCATATTGGAGATTTCTGATCTGTTTGACTTCAGTGGTTAAAAGTTGATAGAATTGGGTCTGTATGCATATATGATTATATGCCATACCAGGGCCCACAGAAAGGCCTACTTTTTGGTAGAAGACAGGGGCTAGAGATCACTCTTGGTGACAGTGGCATGGGTGCCTTCAGAATGGCCTCACAGAATAGTTCCTCAGCAAATTCTGAGATTCCTTCAAGTTTATTTCTTGCTCGTGTGCCTAGATACTTGGGAAGTGCCATTTGAGGAGATCTCAGAGCTGCAGTGGCTGGGTAGTGGAGCCCAAGGAGCTGTCTTCTTGGGCAAGTTTCGAGCAGAAGAGGTGGCCATCAAGAAAGTGAGAGAGCAGAATGAGACGGATATCAAGCATCTGAGGAAGCTGAAGCACCCCAACATCATCGCATTCAAGTAGGTGAAGGCTTTTTCTTCTTTTTAAGAAATAGAGAATTTTTTCTCCCAATATATTACACATAAGTACCTGCTTTGAAAGATGTTTCAAAAACACTCCATAGCCTATGCTAGGTGCTTCAAGAGGGTACCAAAGGGCCATTAAAACTGAGTCATGTCCATAAGCATCTTATAATGCAGTAGTTCATTTTGCCAGAGCATGTGCCGCTTAGAAAGAACTCAGCCACTCAGCTTTCTGAATCTAGTGATAATAGTTATGATAATCGTGTTACACATTATAGTCATTTCTCAAGGTGACTGTTTCCAAGAGTATGTGACTATTTCTTTGTAGTCTAGATTATTATTTTCATATCAACTGGGATCCCTAACAGGAGGAAGAGGGTCAAAGATAAACTTGTAGAAGTCACCGAACTTGGAAATGTTGAGCTCCAAATATTCTATTTGAACCTTCCCCTTGACTTTCTTCCCTTGCCAGCCTTTACATGCTATCATAGACCTGAACAAATGTACAGCTAAGTGACTGTAGCAAAGGGAGGGTGAAGAGTAGGAAAAGCAGCCTTTAGGTAAGATGATAGTTTAGAAACAGAGGCTCTTGGTATACCTGATACTCGGAAAGTAGTGTGACCAATGAGGCTACCAATGAGTAGAAATAAAATAACTTACAGATCCCCCTTCCCTAAAGTAGAAGGAACTTCTCTCAGCCCCAAGAGGGATCCTTTCTTGATAAAACTCGTAAAGCTACAACTATCATATGGTAAACCTCAGTTGGAATCACATCTTCAAAGTCAAGATAGAAATCGCTGGTACAGGTAGGGAGTTTAAATCAGTGCTGAGATTGAATTTTGATTCCCAAGCAAAATCCATTCTGGCAGTGAAAAGATGTATGACAAGCCGGCGCCGCGGCTCACTAGGCTAATCCTCCGCCTAGCGGCGCCGGCACACCGGGTTCTAGTCCCGGTCGGGGCGCCGGATTCTGTCCCGGTTGCCCCTCTTCCAGGCCAGCTCTCTGCTGTGGCCAGGGAGTGCAGTGGAGGATGGCCCAGGTGCTTGGGCCCTGCACCCCGTGGGAGACCAGGAAAAGCACCTGGCTCCTGGCTCCTGCCATCGGATCAGCGCGGTGCGCCGGCCGCAGCGCGCCGGCCGCGGTGGCCATTGGAGGGTGAACCAACGGCAAAAGGAAGACCTTTCTCTCTGTCTCTCTCTCTCACTGTCCACTCTGCCTGTCAAAAAAAAAAAAAAAAGATGTATGACAAAAAGAGAAATATCCTGCCAGGATCTGAGAGACTGAAAGAAACTTTGGATTCATTTCCTTGTAAAGGGACATTCATGCAGAGGACATGGGAGACAGTGTCAGTTGCTATAGTAATTTCATCACTGGCAGTCCTATTAAGGCCAAGCGGATGTGCAGCCACAATGAAATGCTATAGAGATCAGTAACAATGTTTCCAAGGGTGATAAATTTCCAAAGATAACAGGAGGATTATTTTAGACAAACAAATGAATAGAGACCCTCTTGTTTCCTTCACCAAGACAGCCATATACTATACCCTCCTAAAGGGGACAAAAGGCCAAGGGCTTTTTAAAAAATATTTTATTTATTTATTTTGAAAGATATAGTTACACACAGAGAGAGGGAAAGACAAAGAGAGAGGTCTCCCATCTGCTGGTTCACTCCCCTAATGGCTACAGTGGCTGGAGCTGAGCTGATCCAAAGCCAGGAGCCAGGAGCTTCTTCCAGGTCTCCCACACAGGTGCAGGGGCCCAAGCACTTGGGCCATCTTCTACTGTTTTCCCAGGCCATGGCAGAGAGCTGGATTGGAAGAGGAGCAGCTAGGACTCAAACCAGCACCCCTTTGGGATGCTGGCACTACAGCAGAGATGCCCACTACACCACAGTGTCAGCCCCAAACAAAGGATTTTTAAACTTAGATCACTGGGACATCAAGTTGGACACAGAATACTCTAATGATTAGCATGGATGTTTGGCCTCCTGAAGTGAACTAGGCTGTGTGTTCCAAAAAGTGGGCCTTCTAGCAGGATGCCCTGGGCAACTGGAGGTAGAAATGTGTCCTGAAAGGGTGAAGGTATGAGAAGCATTATTTTTCCTTTCTTTATTTTTGCTTCTTCCATGTTCCTCCATCTTTTTCCCACTTCACCCTTCCAACCCTCCTACCTGCCTATGCAGTTTTCAGCCTTGTTGGTCAAGCATTGCCATGCTAGTGCCAACTCTCTGTGCTCAAGATACTTGAGTAGTCTTTACCTCTTCATGGGAAACAATAGTGAGACTGTGTCCCTGGCCCATTACCCCATGCTCTTGGGGCATTGTACAGTGTTGTGTTTGCTGCCATCTGTGCCATGTGTTGCTTGGCCAATGAATCAAATTCAGAACTGTCTGGAAGATGGGAGAGCATGATTAGATTTTAACAGATCTGTCTTTGGATACTGATTTCTGTGCTTACAGCTTTTTTTGATGCTAGCCAGAGCCATATACAGAAGGGAAAGTGCAAAATAATATTATGTTCTTTTTTCCTTCCAATTTTTTAAATATTCTTTTAAGAAAACCCAACCTGACTATTCTTAATGGAATTCAGTGCCAAGGGAAGAAAAGGTAGCAATTAGAAGTGATTATAGAACTGTTATTTATAGCTTCTAAGAAGCCTTGCAGCCTTGTAGGGCTGATGGAGTGATTGCTTCTCATTCGTCAGTCAAGAAAGATGAAAAGTACGTAGTGTTGTCACTGCTAGACCGTTTCTGTGTTTGTGTGACAAGTTAAAACACAGTGGAGCAGAATGCTGAGTATCCTCAAACAACTATTTTTCTTCAACACATTACATTATTTATTCCCTATTCATTATTTCTGTCATGATAATTAAATTATCTACTTGTACCTACTGTATGATTCTCCTCCACTGAGCTCTCCTTAAAGTCAAATCACAGAAACTTGGAAGAAAAAATTTTGTTAGAAATCAAGAGAATTCTGGGTAGCCTTGAAAATGAGAGGGGAGTAACAGGAACAGCTTTGTGGCATGTGACCGGCACAAAAAGGCAGGGAAATTGCAGATGAATTATACTTCTTCATATGCCGCTATTGTTGCATGTCCTTAACATGATAAGTGCCTCAAGCATGCTCTCGAAAGTCTTTCCTGACCTATGGCAGCCTAAGAGACAGGAGACGAACTGGTGGCTGGCTGAAGACTTTAACTGGGTGTCATAGCCTACACAAACCTCAAGAGAGGGTGCTCTTTGCCCCAGAATGGAATGGTTCCACAGAAAACCACCAGACACAGCACAGCGTGTGGTATCTGGAGTGAACAAAACAGAAATCTATGTGCCTAATAGAGAAACCTGTAGACTTGGGGGAGAGGGGTGGTTTAATAATAGTTTCTGTATCCATGTTAAAAAATAATTTGGATATTATTAGTTACATTATTATTACATGTATTAGTGTACATTCATTCTGTTCGTATCTTCTTAAAGTTAATAAATATTCTTAAAATATAAATGTAAATATAAATATGTTTGTATGTATGTATTTATGCACTTGTTTGTGTTTTCTTGAAAGGGGTGTTTGTACTCAGGCCCCATGTTACTGTATCATCATGGAATACTGTGCTCATGGCCAACTCTATGAGGTCTTGCGAGCTGGCAGGAAGATCACACCTCGACTGCTGGTAGACTGGTCCACAGGGATTGCAAGTGGAATGAATTATTTGCATCTCCATAAGATTATTCATCGTGATCTCAAATCACCAAAGTGAGTTCTAGAGCTTATTTTCCAGCTATTTTGTTTTGTTGTTGGGAAATAGGAATTTGTATCAACCACAGTTAAAGTTTTCATACATTATATTATATATATATATTCGTTTTTGTTGTTTTTTTTAATGGATTGTGACAAATATACTAATATGTTTAAAAACAGGGGAAGCTGGATATGGGATATATGAGAAATCTTTGTACAACTATACCATATCTGTTTTGTAAATTTAAAACTATTCTGAAATAATAAAAAACTTCATCACTCTAAAAATTATTTATTTTCATGTACTTGAAAGGCAGAGCAATAGAGAGACAAGAGAGAGCTTCCATCTGCTAGTTGACTCCCCCAAATGCCCACAACAGCCAGAGCTGGGCTGAGTTGAGCCAAGAGCCAGGAACTCCATCTGAGTGTCTCATGTGGGTAGCAGAGTTCCAAGCACTTGAGCCATCATTTGCTCCTTCCCAGGGTACATTAGCAGAAATCTGGATAGGAGATGGAGCAACTAAGATGTTTATTGAGCGTGGGTGCTTTACGTATCTTATATCATTTAATTCAAAATTTAATTTAAAATGAAAATTCTACGAGGTCATTAGTTCAGGCCCATTAATCCCTTTTTCAAAACTCTTAGAGACAGGTAACTTCAGAAAGGTGACATAGGCATCCATCATGACTGGTGCCCAAACTGTCACCAGCCACATTCACATATCTATAGTGGAACCTGTGATAGTCACACAAAATAGGATGAAGTTTGCTTTATACATACGAAAAAATATTCACAGGGGCCAGCGTTGTGGCACAGCAAGTTAAGCTGCCACGTAGGATGCCCACATCCCATAACCGAGTGCTGGTTCTAGTCCTGGCTACTCTGCTTCTGATCCAGCTCGCTGCTAATGTTCCTAGTAAGCTGCAGATGATGGTTAAGTACTTGAGTCCCTCCTACCAGGTGGAGTTCTTGGCTCATAGTTTTGGCCTGGCCCAGTCCTGGCTCTGGCAACCATCTGGGGAGTGAACCAGCAGATGCAAGATCTCTCCCTCCTTTCTCTCTCCCTCTCTCATGTAACTTTGCCTTTCAAATAAATAAATATATCTTTTTTAAAATCGTAAACCATTTTGAAAGCTTTTTGCCTTTCTGAATTGTGGATAAGATGCTATGACTTGAATTGCCTCCATCTTACAGATGAGAAAACTGGCTTAGAAGAATAGGTAATTTGGCAAAGATCACATAGTTAGCAGGCGGTGGAAGCAGGATAAAACCAGGTGTTAAAAGTGCACTCTGCTAAGCTTCCTCACAAATACGAATGATGCTTTTTCTAATGCATAGCTAATGCTCTGGTAATATTCGAAATTACAGGTTGAATTCTGCAAAGTAGGAGGCAGTGAGCAAAACCTTCAGTTGCCATTTAGAGTCATGGTTTTCATTAGTACTAATGATCTGGATGTTTTCTTTATTTCTTTTTAAAGTGTCTTAGTGACTCACACAGATGCAGTAAAAATTTCAGATTTTGGGACATCTAAGGAACTCAGCGATAAAAGTACCAAGATGTCCTTTGCTGGCACCGTTGCATGGATGGCGCCAGAGGTGATACGGAATGAACCTGTCTCAGAAAAAGTCGACATCTGGTGAGTGACATCACTTGTGCCAATCAGAAAGCCTTTTCCCACTTTCACCCTCTTAACACTTTTATCCTGCAACACTTTTATTTCCCCAGAATATTCTTCAGTGTTGCTCACTTCTGGTTGATTACTGTCTCATTATCTGAGGAACCACCCAGTATGATATTTGGTGAGAAAGAGTAGAGGGGAGTAAGGGTGAATATCCATTCAGTAGATCAGTAGTTTGGGGGGCCTTCAGAGAACATTCAAAACCTTCTGGAAAACAAAGTTTACTCTAGATGGCCATCTAGTATAGAAGTCTTTCTGAAATGTACTGCATAATCACCACGTGTCTTGAGGAAAGTACATTAAACAACGTTTATCTGTTCTTGATGACTCATACGTGATGACACAAATCAGTAACATTTTGCTGTCATAGAGTTCAGTGTTCTAGACTTATTTTAAGGACATAAGTAAGACCATTTGCTCTTTTATTGAACAGCCTCTATGAGCTGTGCTTTGTTTGTTTATCAGTATCAGTTTTTCCTCTGAAGTTTCCCCTGCAGTTGCTTTTTTCCCCCTTAAAATTGGCGAGTAGTAGCTTTCAGGCTTAAAACCAAACAAATAACAAATGTTAACATTGCGTGTAGAGGGGCTGGTGCTATGGCATAGCAGGTGGAGCCACCACTTGCAGTGTCGGCATCCCATATGGGCACTGGTTCAAGTCCTGGCTGCTCCTCTTCCAATCCAGCTCTCTGCGGGGGCATTTTGGAGGATGGCTCATGTCTTAGGGCCCCTGCACCTGCATGGAAGACCCAGAGGAAGCTCCTGGCTCCTGACTTCGGGTCGGCTCAGTTCCAGCCATTGCAGTCATCTGGGAAGTTAACCAGCAGATGGAAGACCTCTTTCTCTCTGTCTCTCTCTGCATCTCTGTAGCTCTGCCTTTCAAATAAATAAATAATTTTTTTTAAAAATTGCATGTAGGGGCCAGGATTGTGATATAGCAGGTTAAGCCACTGTCTATAATACCACCATCCAATATGGGCACTGGTTTTGAGTCCTGGCTACTCTACTTCCAATCCAGCTCCCTGTTTATGTGCCTGGGAAAGCAGCAGAAAATGGCCCAAGTCCTTGGGCCCCTGTACCCACAAGGGAGATCCAGATGGGGTTCTAGGCTCCTGGCTTCTGGCTGGCCCGGCCCTGGCTATTGAAGCCATCTGGGGAGTGAACCAGTGGATGGAAGATCTCTTTCTCTCTCTTCTGTTTCTATCTGCCTTTCAAATAAATACATAAATTTTCTAAAAAAAATTGCATGTCAAACTAGAGTAATAGGATAACTAAGTAAATAAAAAGAAATGTGGGAACATTTGTCACTCATAAGATTATTACCAAAGTGTCCTTCCTAGGGAATATACCAATTTAAGTTGCCACCAAAATAGAGTATGAGGGTTTTCTCAGCTTTACCAACAAAATGTGTTAAACTTAGGAACTTTGGCCAAGCATGTAGGTAAACAATGGTATCTTGGGTACATTTCAATTTGTATTCCTTTTATTATAAGCAAAGTTATGCATATTTTGGTATGTTCAAGAGCCAATTGTAATTTCTTAGTTGTGAGCACTCACATTCTTTGCTCAAATTTCTGGTCTTCATTCTCATTAATTAATGAATATTTTATAGAGTAATAACAATTATTATATAAAAGGTTAGCCAAAATGTGTTTTAAAATACAATTTGATTTATCAGTCTTTCCTTCTATGGCATCTAGGTTTCATAGTTAGAAAAGCCTTTTATCACCCAGGGTTATAATAGAAATCTCCCCTCGAAGGTTTCTTTTAGGATTTTTATTATTTCATTTATCACATTTAAATATTTGATCCATTTATAATTTATATTGATGTATGGTGTAGATTTAATCTGTTCACTGTTGTCCCAACAACATTCATTGAGTCAGTTTTTCCCTACATCACTTCTCTCATGTAAGTATACCCAATGTCTGTATACATTTGGTCCATTTATGGATTTATTTAAATAAAAAAGATTTAATTATTTATTTGAAAGTCAGAGTTGTAGAGAGAACAAGAGAGATAGAGAATGATAGAGATCTTCCGTCCACTGGTTCACTCCCTAGGTGACCACAACAGCCATGGCTGGGCCAGACTGAAGCCAAGAGCTTCATCCAGGTCTTCCATGTTGGTGGCAAGGGCCCAAACACTTGGGCCATCTTCCACTGCTTTCCCCAGTCCATTAGCAGGGAGCTGAATTGGAAGTGGAACAGCCAGGACTCAAGCTGGCACCTGTATGGAATGCTGGCATCACTGGCGGTGGTTTTACCCATTATACCATAAAGCTTGCCCCTATTTCTGTATTTCTATTCCCGTCCATTAGTCTGGCTGTTTATTCTGGCACCAGAATTAATTATTGAGGCCCTGTGATAATATATTTTAATATCTGGAAGTGTTGGTTACCCCTTAAAGTTTTCCTGGATATTTCTGTTTTTCTTATGACAATATTACAATTTTTAAATTAGGTGTGTGCTTCATTTGATTAAACTTAATAAATAATAGACATAGAAACAAGTGTTTCTGAAATGTCTTGAACCTGTTCCTGGTATCACCATAGGTCTTTTGGAGTGGTGCTTTGGGAGCTGTTGACAGGGGAGATTCCTTACAAAGATGTAGATTCTTCAGCCATCATTTGGGGTGTTGGAAGCAATAGCCTGCACCTTCCAGTTCCTTCCACCTGCCCTGATGGATTCAAGATCCTTATGAAACAGACATGGTAAGAAATATGTTTTCCCCACTCTTTTTACCTTCTTCCTCAAAAGTATATATAAAACTCTATAACAGCAGGGAAGTCTTTAACATGTATTTGAAGAGATCACCTTAGAGTGAAGACTAGGAGCTGTGGAGTTTGAGAATTTTGGGGCTGAAATGCTAACTGCCCTTCTCCAACTTGTGATTTTGGGCATGTCACCCAAGAGTCAACTTTCTCATCTGTAAAATAGTGACAGCACCTATTCCTAGAGTTGTTGTATACCAACTAATTAAAATTTATGAAGAAAAATTTTTGTATGATGTCTTGAAATAGTAGGCTTTAGTAAATGATGACTATTATTACTTTACCATCTAGATGGATTATCATCCAATAGTTCACTGATTCTAGGTTTCCATTTCATCATCAGATATTATCTCATAATTACATTTTCCTTTTGCTCTTCAGTACATGAAAACTGACATATGGCCAATTTGGAGTAAATACCTTTTCTAAAAGTTCCATAGAGTATGCATCCTCTTGGACACAACTTCCGAAACACGCAGCTGTCTTTTTTACTTTCAGGCAGAGTAAACCTCGCAATCGGCCTTCCTTTCGGCAGACACTCATGCATTTAGATATCGCGTCCGCAGACGTCCTCGCCACCCCACAGGAAACTTACTTCAAGTCTCAGGTAAGCCAGGAAACTTCCTGCCAGGTGCTGTGGACAGATGGACAGTTATTGGGTGAGACAAGTAACTCTTACAAGGGGGCCATTCTCCTCCCTACAACAGTTATGTAACTCTATTCATGGTGAGACAGTGATTGTGATACTTCATGTATATGACATTTGGGAGTTTTTCAAAGCGTTTAGCCTATATTGTTATCTCACTCAAAAGGAACACATCAGAATGTCATCCTTATAGCAGGATCCAGTGAAATTGTTGAAGAAAAAAGGAAAAATTAATGTGAAAACTATAATGTATGAAATTTGACATAGAATTACTGCTGACCTTAATGAAAATATTACTTTCCTTGAAGTAGAAAAGTAGAAAAGCTTTCCTTGAAGTATAGAAGAGGAAAGTTTAAAACCAGAAAGCACACATGATACAATTAGGCCCAGAGAGACTCTTTTCCCTAACTCTAAGTGTGTCACAAGTAGTTCCAAATAAAACATGATTTAATGTATGTGTTGGTCTTCGTACTGTACTAAAATCATCCCAAAACTTATAGCTTAAGACAAGAAGCATTTATTTAATTCATGATTCTATGGGTTGGTAATTTGGGCTTGACCCTTCTCCTTCTCCTGTTGGCTTTGACTGACTCACGTAGGTGTCTGCAAGTCCATTGCCTGGTTGGCTGGCAGGTGGTCCTGAGATAGCCTCACCCACAAGCCAGGCAATAGCCTGGTCATTGGCTGGAGCACCTCAGTTGCCTCCACAGCCTCTTCAGCAGGCTAGCCTGAGCTTGGTCACGTCGAGTTCCCAAAATAACAGATGCAACAAGCGAGCACCCCACAAGATACAAGTGATTTTCAAGCCTGTGTTTGCATCATGTCTGTTAATGTCCCATTGTCCAAAGCAACTCGAAGTACAACCTAGAGTCTAGAGATTGAGAAACAGTTCTCACCTGTTGACAAGAGAATCTACAACAGCACGTTGTAAGGGCACGAATCTAGAAAGGGGGAATTGTGGCTCTTAAATGAAAAGGTTGTAAATGTCATAAGGATTGATGGTCTCACCATCATCACTGTGAATAAGGAGTGGCAAGCAAGGAGTAAGGGCCTTACCCCTACCAGGCCCAGAAAATATCAAAAGGGGTGAAACCATGGCTTTGAGGAACCTAATTTATAGCTTTGTGCTTACAGATTTAACTATTGTATTACTGAATTTCTTATTTTTTTCTTTTAGCTTTTTTACTGTGTTTCTAAAATGAATTTTTGTAACATGAACATCCATCTCCCCATTGACTTCTAGTATCATTTCAAACATTTGTCTTTAGAAAAGATATTTTATTACCAGTTGACTAAAAAAGACTAAAATACAAAGAAAGTTAACTCGGGAAAAGAAAATGTATAGCTACATATTTTAAAGCTAATAATGAGAAAAATGTTAATGAAACAAAATAATTTGGTTCTTCCAAGTATAAGGTAGCAGTTCTCAAAATGTGATCTGGGGACTTCCAGAGGTCCCCTAGAGCCCTTTTACGGCTGAGACTGTTTTCATAAATAATATTACCTTGTCATTTACCTTTTTCATTCACATGACACAGAGTGGTGAAGTAGCTCTGATGGATAGTGAACATTTGCTTGTATGTCCCAGTGCATAATTCTCAGTTTCAATTTCTAGTCTAGTAAGTATCAGTAGAGATGTTGCCCACATAAACAAAAGCTCTTTAGGGTCTCATTTTTAAGGGGTGGGGGGTGGCACTGTGGCACAGCAGATTAAAGCCCCAGCCTGCAGCACCGGTATCCTGTATGAGTGCTGGTTTGAGTCCCAACTGCTACATTTGCGATCCAGATCCCTGCTAATGTGCCTGGGAAAGCAGTGGAGGATGACCCAAGTGCTTGGGCCCCTGAACCCACATGGGAAATCCAAAAGAAGCTCCTGACTTCTAGCTTTGGATCGGCTCAGCTCCAGCCGTTGTGGCCATTTGGGGAGCTAATCAGCAGTTGGAAGACCTCTCTCTCTCTCTCTCTCTCTCTAACTCTATATCTCAAATAAAAAATTAAGTAAATAAATAAATCTTTAAAAGAAAAAGAGTAATGGGGTTCTGAGACCAAAGTTTGGGGACCACCATTTAAAGGCATTCACTCTATTTCTCATGGCCTCCCATCCCCCGTGGGTGATGAGTTTATCTTCCAGGAAAGTGTGTGTTGAAAGAGTACTGACATTTGGGAAAGATATCACCCCCTGAGAGTTAAACATGTCCTTGGATATGCCTTACTACTGCCCTACTAGAGACTTGGAGTACTTGCTTCTCTGGTGTCTGATAATTAGAAACACTCAGCCCATCAGACATGAGAAATATCTTCATGAAGGTACAAGGGTTTGGATTTCTTTCCAATTTCTAAGGAATACACTCTTGCCTTATTGCCTGAAGGTTTTCTTTTTTTTTCTTTTTTCTTTTTTTTTTTTTTGAGATTCAAAAATAAATTTTTATTTATTTATTTATTTTTAAAGCATGATTCATTTAAGTCAAAGACCACCTGGTGGAGTAGCCAGGATGGGAGCTCCAAATGAGGCAAAACCTGAAGGGGCTGGTGGTAGTGGGGTTTTTAAGCACAATTTTTGGGGGAGGAACTGACACTCATTAGTTAAAAGTCGGAGACAAAACCCATCAAAAGACCTGATTTGTAATCTTATTTGCCCTGTCTGGCTTGCTCATGATAAAGCAAAAAGCCATCAAAAGGTTGGGATAGGTAACTTGTTTTCACAATTCAGGAGGATGAAATGGCCACTCCCTTGCTATTCTCATGATAAGATTGGAAGCTCTCAAGGAGTGGGGTAGGCACTTTTGACCTAGCTAAGGATAACTCGGGGAAAACAAGCATTTTGCACCCTCAGTTTCCACCACGACCAACCTGACTGCCTATTAACATGCCTGACTCCACACATTCCCTTCCCCAGAAGAATGGACCCTAACTTCTGTTAGGAGATACGGGACAATGACCACTCTGGCTTCTTCAAGCTGAGAAGGGGCAGCATAGGGAATGGCAATCAAGACAGGGTCCAGCAGGAGGTCACTTCTTGAGGGACACGCAGTGCCAGCTGGCAGAAACTACTTCCATCTGAGGTTTCACATGCCTGGCCATCTAGAATTTCACAGTTTCAAGTCTGGAGAAAACGAATCTAACACGCAGATTAAATACACAGGGTCTAAAACAAAGGACAGAGTCATTATTAGAGGACCTAAGAAAGTTTTTATTTGTTTGTTTTTGAAAGTCAGTGTTAGAGAGATCTATCCGCTGGTTCATGCCAGCACTGGGCCAGGCTGAAGCTAAGAGCCAGGAGCTTCATCCAAGTCTCCCACATGGATGGCAGAGGCTCAAGTACTTAGTCCATCTTCTGCTGCTTTTCCTAGGCCATTAGCAGGGAGCTGGATTGGAAGTGGAGCAACCGGGACACAAATCAGCACTCATATGGGATGCCAGCGGCAGCTTTCCCTGCTATACCAAAACTCCAGACAACTTGCCCAAAGTTCTAACACAGTGTTTATGATCCACAAACTTAGCTCCCGCAATAATGGTGTCTTTAAACAGTCAGACTTGCCACTATAGATTTTTACTGTTTATAAAGTGCTATGTAAGTGAAATATTTGGTTTTAGAGAAAATAAAGAAGCATAGGCAGTTGATTTCATGAGATTTCCTATGTTCTTTGATATGCATTCAGATAAATTCCCTTAGAACCAATGAAACTATTGCCTCTCTGTTCAAACACATGTGGCTATAAAGCATTGGCTAAGAAATCTTTCAAATGTCTTCTGTTAATATTCAGAAAAGACTTAGCCCTTTTGTGAAATGAAAGAGAATGAAAGTACTCTATAGGAAACTTTAGGATATGACTGCAACCAGAGCTCAGAGCAAGTTTTAGTTGAGATTACTAATAAATCGGCCGGCGCCGCGGCTCACTAGGCTAATCCTCTGCCTTGCGGTGCTGGCACACCGGGTTCTAGTCCCAGTCGGGGCGCCGGATTCTGTCCCGGTTGCCCCTCTTCCAGGCCAGCTCTCTGCTGTGGCCCGGGAGTGCAGTGGAGGATGGCCCAAGTGCTTGGGCCCTGCACCCCATGAGAGACCAGGATAAGCACCTGGCTCCTGCCATCGGATCAGCGCGGTGCGCGGGCTGCAGCACACCGGCCGCGGCGGCCATTGGAGGGTGAACCAACAGCAAAGGAAGACCTTTCTCTCTGTCATTCTCTCTCTCACTGTCCACTCTGCCTATCAAAAAATAAAAAAAAATAAAAAATAAAAAAAGAGATTACTAATAAATCACAAGCCATTAAGACAGTCAGTATAACTCTGTGATTTGGAAAACCTAAAATTCTAAACAGATTTTACTCGAAGTATCAGTCTAAAGCCAGTACATTTTCTGAGAAACTACCATGTGCTACTACGCAGGACAACTAAGCATCCACAGCCCATATCTTCACTTGGACCAACTCATTTCTGTATCAGGATACCATAGCATGACACGTTAAAATAGAAAAGTATCGTGGAGGGCAAGAATAGGAGAGGAAAAGAAGGCAAGACGGGGAAGAGGAGGAGAAAATTTGGTGCACTGGGCCTTTGTCTTAATTTGGGTTGCTATAAGAAAATACCACACACTGGGTAGTTTGTAAACAACAGAAATTTATTTATCACAGTTCTGAAGCTGAGAAGCTCAAGATCATGTCCAAGGTGCCTGCAGATTTGGTATCTGGGGAGGCCCTGAGTTCTGGTTCATAGATGATTGCTCTCACTGTGTCTTCACATAGTGGAAAAGAAAATTCCCTTGGGCCCATTTCATAAGGGCACTCACCCATTCATGAGGATGCACCTTCCAAAGGCCCTCTTGCTACTACCATCACCTTGAGTGTTAAGATTTCAACATATGAGTTAGGGTAGAACACAAATATTTAGACATGGTAGCACCTTTAAATTTTTTTTTTTAATATTTCAACCCAATCTCTTCTTGCTCATGTGGCTTTTGAGAAGT